CCTTGGTCGCGGGGCAGAAATCTCAAAGATCAATTGGTAAACTCTGACTTACCATCCCAAAGTACCCCCGCACAACGTCTAGTTGCGCCTCTTCCGGTTGGAAACTACAAGTGTAATGGCTGTGCTCAACGCAACGGCACTTACAAATGTAGATCCTTCAAACAGGGAAACAGATCCCAATCAAAGGTGTTATCACGTGCTCCACTAAGGCAGTTATTTAACTTATAACTTGTCCTTGTGATAAAAAATGATGTGGGTAAAACGAAGCGAGAATTAAGAGTACGAAGCTCGGAGCATCGTAGCACCATTAGGTGCAAAAACTCGATGTACACAGTTGCGGCTCACTTTATGGAAGCGAACCACTCTATGTCGTCCCTTTGTTATATCGGCATCGAACACGTCACCCTCCCTAGGAGAGGGGGTGACCTTGACAATTTATTGTTAAAAGGAGAGCCTGCCTGGATCTTTAATTTAAAGACCATTGCTTCCTTCGGTCTCAACGTAGACTTTGATCTGAAGCCATTCTTGTGGTTTTGCTATTCATTGTAAATGTTTGTAGGCCTATGTAGCCAAATTGTATCGATGATCGTATATTATCCATTTAGGCTTTTTATACGTTCTATTTATATCTGTAAATCAACCAATGACTTCAAGCCACGATTACAGACACCTGTGTGTCCTTTCAAACTATATAAACTAGTGACCCGCAGTGTTTGACATTATACCCTGACGAAGACGGCTTGTCTTTTGAAACGTCGGTTATGAAATTATAACGTCTGAGCTCCTAGAGTGTGCGGCTCTCCTTTTCTTTTTCCAAGTGTTCCACTCCGCTAGCCAGCACCTCGCCTAAACAGGTGTGCGTTTCTTTCGCCTCCAGACATCATTTATCTTTGGTTTACCCATGCTTTAGCCAGTTTCTTTAGCTGTCACTTTGATAAATTGGCTACACTATCTAGCTAGCTCTCTGGCACCATTCGACACCCTGTCTCAGCTTGCATGTCTTACAGCGGCTGTGTCCTGAGAAGTTGTCTGCTGGAGCTAGACCTTATTGAAATAATTGGCAAAAGATCTGAATTCGGCTGCCTCTGTAAACGCAGCCTTAGTGTCCGATGGACATCCAGGTTATCTCAGACTGATCGAGTGTATGTGGTACAATATGAAATATTTGTCACTACAAAATGTTACCTACTTTCCGGCTACAAACCCAATCAAAATTCAACACAAGAAATATGGTAAGGCAGCAGCCTATGATATTGCATTTTATGATCGGGTTAAAATAATTATCTACGAATGGGAGGTTTTTTAGTTGTATAGAAGGAGGTTGGATGAAAACTGGAATAAAGCAAATATTTTGCTTGATCTAATGGTAAAACAATGAAATGGATGGCATAGAAATTATACTGAACAAAAATATAAACGTAACATGCAACAATTTCAAAGATTTTACTGAGTTACAGTTCATATGAGGAAATCAGTCAATTTAAATAAATAAATTAGGCCCTCATCTATGGATTTCACACGACTGGTCACAGATACCTAAAAAAAAAAAATGGGCCTCACAATGGGCCTCAGGATCTCGTCACGGTATTTATTTGCATTCAAATTGCCATTGATAGAAGGCAGTTGTGTTCGTTGTCCATAGCTTATGCCTGCCCATAACATAACCCTACCATGCTCTGTTCACAACATTGACATCAGCAAACTGCTCGCCCACGACGCCATACACGTGGTCTGCGGTTGTGAGGTGGATATATTGAAGCAACATCAAGACATCATTCAGGAAGTTAAAGCTTGGTCGCAAATGGCTCTTCCAAACGGACAATGACCCCAAGCATACTTCCAAAGTTGTGGCAAAATGGCTTAAAGACAACAAAGTCAAGGTATTGGAGTGGCCATCAAAGCCCTGACCTCAATCCTTTAGAAAATGTGTGGGCAGAACTAAAATAAAGTGGTGATCCTAACCAGGGGCGGTGTGTTCAATAGGGCGATATGGGCGACGCACTGCCAAACGGGAAAAGGAAGGGATTTTTTTTCTAATCAATTATATCACGGCAACAGTAGTTATCAGTGTTGTAATCTAGACGTCTGATCTGCCACAGTGCCACTAAATGTCCAATCAGGCTAAAGTCGTGCTTCAAATGGCCCCCCCCCCTTTTGGGGCGATTTCAGTCAGGTTGAAAATCGCCCCAGAAGTCTGTCATAGACTCCCATGTAAAATCTATTTTTTTCAAATATCAGAGCTTTCAATACAATCTCTATGGGTTTCTGAGGGCTTGCACTTACGCGCTTTCGTCATACGTAACGTAACCATGAACGTAACTAAGAAAAGAGCGGGTAGCAGCGTCAATCAATTCACTATTACTGTCAAAATGGCTAGGCTTCAGTGCAACTCGATTGTGTCTGAAAGAAGTTCCTTTTTGTCGGCGAACAAATGAAGATAAATTGGCAACGAAACAATTAGGACCTCCCAGACCAAATGTAATAATTCAACAGGTTTCTACTAAAGGGGGGAAGTCCTACACCCGAGGATTTTCCAAAAATTGGTACGAACGAAAAACCTGGCTAGCAGGCTGCGATGTAGCTAATGCAGTCTTCTGCTACCCCCTGCTTACTCTTTCACCCTGAAGGCGGCACGGCAGACAGCACCGCTTGGACAGCGACTGGTGTGTAACGGACATGCACCATCTTTCAGGAAAGATTAAGAAACATGAGCTGTCAAAGACCCACATGGATAGCTGTTTGAGATTGTCTGCTTTGGGGAGAGTGAACATTCCCACTCAACTGGATGAGGGATACAGGCTAGCTGTCCGCCGCCACAACGATGAGGTTAGTGTTGATAATCACAAGTTTACTGGAGAACTGAAACTGACAAGGCTGACAAGATAGGACCCTTTTGTCCATTGTTATTGGATAGGAACAGAACTTATAACCAGCTCCTGACCTAAATAGATCTTAGCACAACATTTTACTTAACATATCATATTCACTATAACAAATATATTTACTACGACATTAGCAAGAACCGCCACATCCTCAGCCGGCTAATCCAGTGTGTGAAGTTTTGCGGAGTGTTTGAGTTAGCTTTGCGAGGCAAAGATGAAACTGAGGGCTCCACCAACCCTGGTAAGCCAACACTTTTGAGATCAGTCAATAAATGCTTCTGGTATTGACTTATATGCTGCCCCTGTCTTCATGTTGTTGCTGGACATATCTTTTTTAAAATGTGTGTAGGTCACCTAAATCATCAGAAAAATTGCCCCCCCTGAGAATTTTTTCAGGAGCCGCCACTGATCCTAACTGACCTAAAACAGGGAATTTTTTACTAGGATTAAATGTCAGGAAGTGTGAAAAACTTTGTTTAAATGTATTTGGCTAAGGTGTATTTAAACTTCCGACTTCAACTGTATATCTTACCCCTTGGCAGCGTTAACAGAAAGCACAGCATTGATTTTCATTGCTACGCAGACAATGCACAACTTCACATTTCTGTGTCACCAGAGGATTTTAGCTCCACAGATAAATTGTATTAGTGATTTAAATCCTTGGATGGCTCACAACTTCCTCCAGCTAAATCAAGGCAAGACCGATGTACTTATTGTTGGAGCCAAAGCACAGACAGAATCTGGCCGCACATTTTAATTCATGGGCAATAAAGATAAAACACCAGGTAAAAAACCTAGGTGTTATTTTAGATTCTGAACTCAATTTCAAATCACACACTAGGAATTTGACCAAAATAGCTTTTTATGACCTCATGAACATTGCCACGGTGCGACCATCTCCCTCTCAGGCTGATACTCAGCCATGCTTTTATTACAAGCAGGCTTGACTACTGTAATGCTCTCTTGTCTGGTCAACCCAAGAAAGTAATTGGTCAACTGCAAACCATAAAGAATGCTGCTGCACAGGTACTAACCAAGACCAAACAGAGAGCACACATTACACCGGTTTTAAGGTCTCTGCACTGGCTGCCTGTGAGTTTTGGAATTAATTTTAAGATTCTTCTATTGGGTTTTTAAAATCAATCCACGATTGTGCACCCAAATACATCAGACCCATGCTTTTAAGTTATGTACCCAGTAGGTCCCTCAGGTCCTATGGCACTGGCCTTTTAACCATCCCAAAGCCTAGGACCAAGAGGCAGGGACAGGCAGCCTTTAGCTACTATGCCCCCAGCCTCTGGAATAGCCTGCCTGAGAACCTGAGGGAGGCCGAAACAGTGGACATTAAGAGATTTTAACACATTTTTAGCTTAGTTTTTCCTTAGGGTGCTTTTTAGTCATTCAGTGTTATTCATCTGTGTGTAGTAAATATTTAAGTAATAGTTTTTTTCCCCCTGTGAAGCACATTGTGTTGCATTCCATGTCTGAAATGTGCTGTATAAAGCTTGATTTGACATTGGAGGCGGATTATGGTAGAGAAATTAACATTAAATTATCTGGCAACCGCGCTGGTTGACAATCCTGCAATCAGAAATGCCAATTGCACACACTATCAAAACTTGAGTCATTTGTGGCATTGTGTTGTGTGTCAAAACATTTTAGAGTGGCCTTTTGTCCCCAACACAAGGTACACCTGTTATGATCATGCCGTTTAATCAGCTTCTTGATATGCCACACTTGTCAGGTGGCTGGATTATCTTGGCAAAGGAGAAATGCTCACTTACAGGGATGTTAACACATTTGTGCACAATGAGAAATAACCTTTGTGCATATGGAAAATTTTTGGGGTCTTTTATTTCAGCTCATGAAACCAAGACTTTACATGTTGCGTTTATATTTTTGTTCAGTGTAAATCAATTGCACCGTTTGATAAAGCCACTCTTTTCGCTGCATACAACTTTGCATCACAAGTCTTAAGCCAGGCAGACTTGTTTCACTAAATAATTTAAACAATTTGCTTTACGTATAAGAACATTCATTTGGAGTAAACAGGATATTTTCCCTAGACAGACTTGGAACAAATTGAGAAACCACTGAAGAACCAGACAAAAGCAGAGGTTGGAATTAACCTTTTATTGAGTGAAAAACTCAAAATAAGCACATTACAGACGACGCCCACGACGACCTCCCTTTCTGCGGGTGCTGTCTGATGGAATAGGGGTGACATCCTCTGTAAGAAGAGAGCAAGCGTTAGTGTGCTTCACATGATAAACAGTAACAATCCTTTATTCATCATCATCATCATTTTTACATGTTTAATGAATATTGTCTGAAGGGCATTTAACAGATTCATACACTTGGCTGATGTCTCTCTCATCCAAAGCGACTCGCTAACTGTAAGCTGCTCTGAATAAGAGCATCTGCTAAATGACTCAAATGTAAAAAATACATTGTTGTGACAAAAACATGCCAGAGTACCGTAAAACTTAAATTAAACAGTCTCATAGCTGCCTGTCCCTTAGCTGGGCAGTGGCACACATTTCAGCAAATAAAAAGCTTATTTTAAACAAATGCCCAGTCTAAATCTATGGTTTACGAGGTTACCATGAATTGTTTACAAGGTTTAATGTTTGATGTTACATTACATAATTCAGTAATGACTCAAAAGACGGCAATCATCCGTTTTTATCGGCAGTAAGAAACTGCTAGCCATTGGCTGCTAACAGCTGAATACTGCTTGCTAAATGGCAATCACAAACAGTCAACTTCGGGAGTACAGTCGTGGTCAAAAGTTAATGACACAAATATTAATTTTCAAAGTCTGCTGCCACAGTTTTTGTGATGGCAATTTGCATATACTCCAGAATGATATGAAGAGTGATTAGATGAATTGCAAAGTCCCTCTTGCCATCAAAATGAACGTAATCCCCCAAAAAACATTTCCACTGGATTTCAGCCCTGCCACAAAAGGACCAGCTGACATCATGTCAGTGATTCTCTCGTTAACACAGGTGAGTGTTGACGAGGACAAGGCTAGAGATCACTCGGTCATGCTGATTGAGTGAGAATAACAAACTGGAAGCTTTAAAAGGAGGGTGGTGCTTGTAATCATTGTTCTTCCTCTGTTAACCATGGTTACCTGCAAGGAAACACGTGCCATTATCATTGCTTTGCACAAAAAGGGCTTCACAGGTAAGGATATTGCTGTTAGTAAGATTGCACCTAAATCAACCATTTATCGGATCATCAAGAACTTCAAGGAGAGAGATTCAATTGTTGTGAAGAAGGCTTCAAGGCGCCCAAGAAAGTCCAGCAAGCGCCAGGACCGTCTCCTAAAGTTGATTCAGCTGCGGGATCGGGGCACCACCAGTGCAGAGCTTGCTCAGGAATGGCAGCAGGCAGGTTTGAGTGCATCTGCACGCACAGTGAGGCGAAGACTTTTGGAGGATGGCATGGTGTAAAGGGCAGCGAGGAAGCCACTACTCCCCAGGAAAAACATCAGGGACAGACTGATATTCTGCAAAAGGTACAGGGATTGGACTGCTGAGGACTGGGGTAAAGTCATTTTCTCTGATGAATCCCCTTTACGATTGTTTGGGGCATCTGGAAAAAAAGCTTGTCCGGAGAAGACAAGGTGAGCGCCACCATCAGTCCTGTCTCATGCCAACAGTAAAGCATCCTGAGACCATTCATATGTGGGGTTGCTTCTCAGCCAAGGGAGTGGGCTCACTCACAATTTTGCCTAAGAACACAGCCATGAATAAAGAATGAAACCAACAACATCCTCCGAGAGCAACTTCTCCCAACCATCCAAGAACAGTTTGGTGACGAACAATGCCTTTTCCAGCATGATGGAGCACCTTGCCATAAGGCAAAAGTGATAACTAAGTGGCTCGGGGAACAAAACATAGAAATTTTGGGTCCATGGCCAGGAAACTCCCCAGACCTTAATCCCATTGAGAACTTGTGGTCAATCCTCAAGAGGCGGGTGGACAAACAGAAACCCACAAATTCTGACAAACTCTAAGCATTGATTATGTAAGAATGGGCTGCCATCAGTCAGGATGTGGCCCAGAAGTTAATTGACAGCATGCCAGGGCAGATTGCAGAGGACTTGAAAAAGAAGGGTGCACTTATGGAATGCTTGTAATTATACTTCAGTATACCATAGTAACATCTGACAAAAATATCTAAAAACACTGAAGCAGCAAACTTTGTGAAGACCAATACTTGTGTCATTCTCAAAACGTTTGACCACGACTGTACAAACCAAGTAATGACTGAAAGTAAGAATTGCAGAAAAGGATAGAGGACAATAGAAATAGAGGCGTACTAAGAAAAAAAAACGTGACAGTGTATAAATGATAAGTGCAGGAAATTAAGAAAATTATTAAAATGCTATAAGTGAATGCTGGAATTAAATAATTAACTAGGCAAATGAGCAAAAGCTGTAAGTAGGAAATTGACGACTTGCTCCAATTGACCCCAGTCGCTAATAAGTGCCTGTTGTGTCCAGCGATTTAAGCAAATAAAACGGCAAGGCTCATAATTGAAGTTTTATGGTATGCATGTAAATTACACTGTTCAGGAGGCTTAAACAAAACAGGCTAACAGAACAGTATATATTTTTTTAACAGAGTATTCTAAGACTAGCAGAAAAATCATTTCCCAACTGAAACATGTTAATCCTCTGGAAAACATCAATGTAGATGTAACCCTTCATTCATGATACACGCAGACACATGGTAGTGTTTCCCAACCCTCACCTTGATTAGTTGAATCATCCATGGCAGTGCTATAACTAACAATTAGGGCTGGGCGATATGGCTTAAAAATCTTTATTTTTTATATACACACTTATGGGGGATTCACAATACACATCTACTGTAGATATTTTTATGTTCTCTAAATAAGCTTTGCTGCACAATTAAAAAGGTTGATACACTGCATTTCAAACAGTCAGGAATAATCTAATCCAGGGCGTGTAAAGTTATACCTAGGCTAAATATAAGTCATCCCCAACCACAAGACCCACTAATAATGTAAATATTTTATTTAAAGAAAGTTTACCCTGCTTTTTTGCAATATTCACTGATCTGGCTTTCAAGTCTGGTCTACGAAAAGGCCCTTTGTTACAAATATAACCAGAACTATGCACATACACTAATGATGACCATCTTCTAGTAGCAGCCATTATAGAAAATTAAACACAGGTCTCAAACAATCAAGCACAAGCCCACATGCTAGTGAGTAGCCAGCTAATCTTTTTACTCTAGCATAAGTGGATCTATCTGCTTGCTAACAAGGTAGAACTAATGAATACACCCTCCTGTCCATCTCCCAACTGTTTGAACATTAAAACAGATTCTGTTTGACCAAATCTTAAACGAAAATAGCGAGTTCAAACTGCTTGTTGTCATAGAGGGAAAAGTGATCTTGTGAGTGGCAGTGGGAAGGGCTGTATGTCTGTGCAAGTGGGAAGATGCACAGTGCACACAAGTACAGAAGGAGCGAAGGAGATGAGACCAAAAAGACAAACGCTTATTAAAACGTAAAAATAAAAACCCTGATTCTTGCGATACAGGCATTAGGAACATCGCGCTAAAACAAATTTGAATGAATTCGATATATCGCCCAGCCCTACTAACAAGTGGACCATCGATTGGTCTAAGGCGGGGGGTGAGAAAAAATAAACAGCAGTAGCTTGCTTATTACAGATTCTCCTGACAGGGTAACTGAGCGAAAGCTTACCGATGCGTCCAATTTTCATGCCAGAACGAGCCAGGGCACGGAGAGCAGACTGTGCTCCTGGTCCAGGGGTCTTGGTTCTGAAAGGCAAATGTTCACACTGAGTAATGTTGCACACAAGACTAATACATAGTCCATTATAGATAAACCCAGCCAAAATAGACTGCACTTAAAACACCCACACCAGTAGAAATCCACTTTTTCGAGCTGAAAGAATAGTGTTGCACAACGATTTAAGTCAAGTCATAGCTTTAGTCAAAGTATGATATATCTGGGCTTGAAGTGACAAATCCAAACTGCCCAATTAGCACAAATCCGTGTGAATGCGGTGTCTTCCTATGGATATACAAATTATTTTCAGCCTACATTACGTTTCAGGGCTGGGTTTTATTTGAATGGGACCACCCACCAGCATGGCATTGTCAACAGAAACAGCTGCAAAGTGATTCCTCTACGCAACTGGGATGAGCCAAACAGCCTCGTATCCACTTGGCTGCATGAGCAATGGAGCAAATTCTCTCCAGAAAAGTATCATAATCCATGGTTAATTCGCAAATTTTTATATAAATATGTTTAGCTTGTCTGTATTCAAAATATATACAGTGCAGTCAGGAAGTATTCAGACCCATTCTCCACATTTTGTTACATTACAGCCTTATTCTAAAATTGATTAAAAATAAATTCCTCAATACTCTATGAAAGCGAACCGGTTTCTATACAATTTTGCAAATGTATTAAAAATAAAACAATTTTACATAAGTATTCAGACCCTTTGCTATGAGACTCGAAATTGAGCTCAGGTTTATCCTGTTTCCATTGATCATCCTTGAGACGTTTCTACAACTTGATTGGAGTCCACCTGTGGTAAATTCAATTGATTGGACATGATTTGGGAAGGCACACACCTGTCTATATAAAAAGGTCCCACAGTTGACAGTGCATGTCAGAGCAAAAACGAGGCCATGAGGTCGAAGGAATTGTCCGTAGAACTCCAAGACAGGATTGGGTCGAGGAACAGGTCTGGGGAAGGGTACCCAAAATTCTGCAGCCTTGAAGGTCCCAAAGATAATGCAAGACGTTTGGAACCACCAAGACTCTTCCTAGAGCTGGCCACCCGGCCAAACTGAGCAATCGGGGGAGAAGGGCCTTGAGTCAGGGAGGTGACCAAGAACCCGATGGTCACTGACAGAGCTCCAGAGTTCCTCTGTGGAGATGGGAGAACCTTCCAGAAGGACAACCATCTCTGCAGCACTCCACCAATCAGGCCTTTGTGGTAGAGTGGCCAGATGGAAGCCACTCCTCAGTAAAAGGCACATGACAGCCCGCTTGGAGTTTGCCAAAAGGCACCTAAAGACCCAGACCATGAGAAACAAGATTCTCTGGTCTGATAAAACCAACAGTGAACTCTTTGGCCTGAATGCCAAGCATCGTGTCTGGAAGAAACCTGGCACCCTCCCTACGGTGAAGCATGGTGGTGGCAGCATCATGCTGCTGTGATGTTTTTCAGCGGCAGGGACTGGGAGACTAGTCAGGATCAAGGCAAAGATGAACGGCGCAAAGTACAGAGAGATCCTTGATGAAAACCTGCTCCAGAGCGCTCAGGACCTCAGACTGGGGCGAGGGATCACCTTCCAACAGGACAATGACCCTAAGCACACGGCCAAGACAACGCAGGAGTGGTTTCGGGTCAAGGCTGTAATCGCTGCCAAAGGTGCTTTAACAAAGTACTGAGCAAAGGGTCTGAATACTTAAATAAATTAGCAAACATTTCTAAAAATATATATTTTCTTCGTCATTATGGGGTATTGTGTGTAGATTGATGAGGGGAAAAAAACAATTGTAACCATTTTAGAATAAGGCTGTGGAAAAAGTCAAGGGGTGTGAATACTTTCCAAATGCACTGTATCTGACAATTTTATAAAATGGTATAATTGTGCGATATGGCATTTAGCAAAACCCGCTCCTCCAAGATGAATGTTTTCACCACTGAAGTTTCGCTTCACTACAGTGCTTTGATAGGTGTAACGTTAGCTAGAAACCATCCAGATAATGAAAAAGTTACATGTCATTTGCAGCGTGCATGATCATGAACAAAGACAATAGCGGTTATTCCCTGGTGATTATTTCCATACACATCATTGTCTCATATACAGGGCCCGCCAACACCCGCGGGTAGATTTTGGCATTGGCAGGTAAGATGTCTATCTCACAAGCCATGTTGGCGGTGGTCAGGGCTCCACAATGTGAGCATTTCACTCGCATTTGTGAATAGAAATAGTCAAGTATGATCACATTTATAGTAAAAGTAATGCTTCAGTAGCTGTTTGTATTTCTGGTTGTTTCATAGCTGGTAAATTAATTGCACAAAATCAAAGAGCTACGAATCTATATAGCCTATTCCACCTCGTGCTGCAACACGAGGTGGAATAGTTGATCTCTTTACTTGAAACGAAAGTCTAGTGAAGTGAGACTTTGTACTTGTGTTTCTTGGCTATTTACATTGTTTTGTTCAAAAGCTTGGTTGTTTTTCTAGGTTTGAGTTTCAACTGCAAGGGAAGAGAAGACAAAGCTTCTACTAGTCAGACTCAATCTCACAGGTACAAACATGACTCGAGTCGCGGTAACTCCAAGCCCTAAAAGGGACAGGTGAATATTTGTCTCATCTGTGATATTGTGGTTAAAAGACTCAGGTCACAAAATGAAATTAAACAATATGCCACATTACTTCTTACCAGTAATACATTTATTGTTTTAGAAACATTACAAAGCATGCTTATCTTTGTGTGTGTGTTGGTGTAATTTCAGCAGGGGAGAAATATTTGGGCTGGTAAAAAAACTGAGTGGCTGGTAGATTTATTTTTATTTACCTGCCAGTGGCTGGTGGCCCAAAAATGTAATTTTATGCCCTTCTCATAGTTCTGTTGGCTGGTATTCTGACTACCGGAAGGGCCCAACATTGGCATTTATTTGTATATAAAAGCACTTCTCCAGAAACTCCCATACTACCGCACTTCTAAATTGGAAATCCAGTTAATATAACACTCAAGACTGGTTGGTTCTAGAGGTTCCGCAGGTCTCCTCAGTTAGGGAAGACTACTTTCAGTTACTATGCCCCTCAGTCCTGTAATGACCTACAGGTCCCAACAACTTTAGTCTTTGGTCCCAAAAGGTGAATTTAGGGCTCTGATAAAATAAATGTTTTGATTGATTGTATACATTGAAAGTAACTAATGTTGTAGTGAAAATGCTTGAATTGTTGCTCACATTGGAAATAAGACCCTGAACTTAATGGTGTCCCCTGGTTATATAAAAGTTAATAAATTAAAAGTAAAAGATAGGCCAGTGGTTTCCATCTGTGGCGAAGTTTTCCCTAAATCAATGCTTACTGCAAATCCATCTCCAGCCATAGAGCCAGCTTGGCTAATCTTTTGATTATGGTGTAGTTAAAAAAAAAAAGCTGCTACAACGATAACATTAGCAAGATACTGTACATAGACATCTAACTATATAAGGTTAGCATGCTAGCTAGCTACACTGAGCTGTCAGTGACCTATTTGTGATGTTTATCAACTCCACAGGAACTTCCCACACCCGCACAGGACAAGAAATGACATTGAAATAGTGGTCCTTTAATTGCATGGTATATTTACAGATGCAACAAGAGTAGTCAAAGGACAATGTACCAGAACAATTTAGCTGCATCATGCACTGTGGATGTACCAAAGACAAGGTCTGATGGAAAAACACCAGATTGTGCTTCAGATCAGTGAGGGGGGTTCCTTACCTGTTGCCGCCAGTTGCCCTCAACTTGATGTGCAGGGCAGTGATTCCCAGCTCCTTGCACCTCTGGGCGACGTCCTGGGCGGCCAACATAGCGGCGTAGGGGGAGGACTCGTCTCTGTCGGCCTTCACCTTCATACCACCAGTCACACGGCAGATAGTTTCCCTGGAGGGGACAACGCATTTGAAACCAATTCAGACAAGGCAGTTGCTCTCACAATATGATCATACGACTGATTGCTATTGATGGATAGCAGTGAGATGCATGCACCTTTTACACGCATTAGTTTAACCCAAAAACATCACTGTTCAATTGTATCCAGTACTTACTTGCCCGAAAGATCAGTGACATGAACGAAGGTATCATTGAAGGATGCAAAGATGTGGCAGACTCCAAAAACATTCTCGCCTTCGGCAACCTGGGGTCCCAGGGCAATGACCTGCTCTTCCTTCTTTTCCTTACCCTTACGAGGTGCCATAGCTGCAAAAGAGACATTGGTCATCATTGATGGCGTCAGACAAGTCTGGCATTAGCATCCATTCAAGTGCCCCAAATTGGGACCAGGTGGAGTGAGTACCATTGCTAACTAGTTAAGTGAATCACTGTGTAGGTGATCATATGGACCACCATTAACTAACTTATCGCAACTGACCAATAACCAACTAACGTAAGCTAGCTAAAAAAACAACGTTTGATACAAAAATCACATGGCACCACAGCAAGTAGCTAGACTAGTTAGCTAACGTTATATCATAGATTGTACAACACGACACAATTTCAATACAAAAATAATCCATGTGTGATTGTCACAGCAATGTCAAGACTAAAAACTGCAGTACCCCATCGTTAGCCAACAACTGTAACGTTAGCACTGAATAACCACGACGACATCAACCTAACTAGCTAACGTTACACTCAACATGTCCCTTCGATAGAATTTTAAAGGAATAGGAATTCACAGCAGCAAAAATGCACAAGGGGGAAGACAATATGGTTAACATGGCAAATCACAAAACCCACTCAATGTGCTCCATCCAGTAAACGAAATTCAGGCCTTCCAATGATGGAAACCGCTGCTTCCAGTCGACACTAATGCGGTCTAATCCAAACTTCTATAGCCAATTTCAGACAAATAGCACATTTTACATACATATCAAAACTCAGTGTATCAATTAAAAGTACAAAGGGCGCTATATACATAGAGTGAAATAGGATTACTTTGGATTTAAATTCTGCGATATCTTACCTCAATGTGTCTCTTCTAAAGCCGAAACAGGAAAGGAAAGAACAATCGCAACCGGGTTCAGAGTTCAAGCTTTCTTTTTCCGGAAGTGGACCATGCACTTCACTACCACCAAGCGGTTCATATGTAGCCTACACAGCACCCCAAAAATATGGTACAGCAACAATTTGCACAAATTTCAACTAGTGAAATTCTGTTATTAAAAACAAAACAAAATCTGCTATTTAGTCCTGTCATATACCGTACCAAATTATACTATTTATTTCTCTGCATTAAAGAATACAATGCCAAATGTCAAAATCCTCTAACTGTATAAAAACCTCCCCCGGAATGTAGGCCTATACAAAGTTGTCATAGTCCATCCCGGAGTCGCCTCTACACTGTTGACGTTGAGACTGGTGTTTTGTGGGTACTATTTAATGAAGCAGCCAGTTGAGGACCTGTGAGGCGTCTGTTTCTCAAACTAGACAGTTTAATGTATTTGTCCTCTTGCTCAGTTGTGCACCGGGGCCTCCCACTCCTCTTTCTAGTTTGCGCTGTTTTGTGAAGGGGGTAGTACACAGCGTTGTACAAGATCTTCAGTTTCTTGGCAATTTCTCGCATGGAATAGCCTTCATTTCTCAGAACAAGAATAGACTGACGAGTTTCAGAAGAAAATTATTTGTTTCTGGCCATTTTGAGCCTGTAATCAAACCCACAATTTCTGATGCTCCATATACTGAACTAGTCTCAAGAAGACCAGTTTTATTGCTTATATAATCAGCACAACAGTTTTCAGCTGTGCTAACATAATTGCAAAAGGGTTTTCTAATGATCAATTAGCCTTTTAAAATGATAAACTTGCATTAGCAAACACAACGTGCCATTGGAACACAGGACTGATGGTTGCTGATAATGGGCCTCCATATGCCTATGTAGATATTCCATTAAGAATCAGCCGTTTCCAGCTACAATAGCCATTTACAACATTAACAATGTCTACACTGTATTTCTGATCAATTTGATGTTCTTTTAATGGACAAAACTTTTCTTTTCTTTTGAAAACAAGGACATTTCTAAGTGACCCCAAACTTTTGAACGGTAGTGTATATGTACAGTTGAAGTCGGAAGTTTAAATACACTTAGGTTGGAGTCATTAAAACTCGTTTTTCAACCACTCCACAAATTTCTTGTTAACAAACTATAGTTTTGGCAAGTCGGTTAGGACATCTACTTTGTGCATGACACAAGTAATTTTTTCCAACAATTGTTTACAGACAGATTATTTCACTTATAATTCACTGTATCCCAATTCCAGTGGGTCAGAAGTTTACATACACTAAGTTGACTGTGCCTTTAAACAGCTTGGACAATTCCAGAAAATGATGTCATGGCTTTAGAAGCTTCTGATAGGCTAGTTGACATCAATTGAGTAAATTGGAGGTGTACCTGTTGATGTATTTCAAGGCCTACCTTCAAACTCAGTGCCTCTTTGCTTGACATCAAGGGAAAATCAAAAGAAATCAGCCAAGACCTCAGAAAAAGAATTGTAGAACTCCACAAGTCTGGTTCATCCTTGGGAGCAATTTCCAAATGCCTGAAGGTACCACATTCATCTGTACAAACAATAGTACGCAAGTATAAACACCATGGGACCACGCAGCCGTCATACCGCTCAGGAAGGAGACGCGTTCTGTCTCCTAGAGATGAACGTACTTTGGTGCGAAAAGTGCAAATCAATCCCAGAACTACAGCAAAGGACCTTGTGAAGGTGCTGGAGGAAACAGGTACAAAAGTATCGATATCCACAGTAAAACGAGTCCTATATCGACATAACCTGAAAGGTCGCTCAGCAAGGAAGAAGCCACTGCTACAAAACCGCCATAAAAAAGCCAGACTACGGTTTGCAACTGCACATGGGGACATAGAAATAGAACTGTTTGGCCATAATGACCATCGTTATGTTTGGAGGAAAAAGGGGGTTGCTTGCAAGCCAAAGAACACCATCCCAACCGTGAAGCACGGGGGTGGCAGCATCATGCTGTGGGGGTGCTTTGCTGCAGGAGGGACTGGTGCACTTCACAAAATAGATGGCATCATGAGGAAGGAAAATGATGTGGATATATTGAAGCAACATCTCAAGACATCAGTCAGGAAGTTAAATCTTGGTCACAAATGGGTCTTCCAAATGGACAATGACCCCAAGCATACTACCATAGTTGTGGCAAAATGGCTTAAGGACAACAAAGTCAAGGTATTGTAGTGGCCATCACAAAGCCCTGACCTCAATCCTACAGAACATTTAAGGGCAGAACTGAAAAAGCGTGTGCGAGCAAACCTGACTCAGTTACACCAGCTCTGTCAAGAGGAATGGGCCAAAATTCACCCAACTTATTGTGGGAAGCTTGTGGAAGGCTACCTGAAACGTTTGACCCAAGTTAAACAATGTAAAGGCAATGCTACCAAATACTAATTGAGTGTATGTAAACTTCTGACCCACTGGGAATGTGATGAAAGAAATAAAAGCTTAAATAAATCATTCTCTCTACTATTATTCTGACATTTCACATTCTTAAAATAAAGTGGTGATCCTAACTGACCTAAGACAGGGACTTTTTACTTCGATTAAATGTCAGAAATTGTGAAAAACTGAGTTTAAATGTATTTCGCTAATGTGTATGTAAACTCCCGACTTCAACTGTACTTATACAGTGGGGAAAAAAGTATTTAGTCAGCCACCAACTGTGCAAGTTCTCCCACTTAAAAAGATGAGAGAGGCCTATAATTTTCATCATAGGTACACGTCAACTATGACAGACAAAATGAGAAAAAAAAATCCAGAAAATCACATTGTAGGATTTTTTATGAATTTATTTGCAAATTATGGTGGAAAATAAGTATTTGGTCACCTACAAACAAGCAAGATTTCTGGCTCTCACAGACCTGTAACTTCTTCTTTAAGAGGCTCCTCTGTCCTCCACTCGTTACCTGTATTAATGGCACCTGTTTGAACTTGTTATCAGTATAAAAGACACCTGTCCACAACCTCAAACAGTCATACTCCAAACTCCACTATGGCCAAGACCAAAGAGCTGTCAAAGGACACCAGAAACAAAATTGTAGACCTGCACCAGGCTGGGAAGACTGAATCTGCAATAGGTAAGCAGCTTGGTTTGAAGAAATCAACTGTGGGAGCAATTATTAGGAAATGGAAGACATACAAGACCACTGATAATCTCCCTCGATCTGGGGCTCCACGCAAGATCTCACCCCGTGGGGTCAAAATGATCACAAGAACGGTGAGCAAAAATCCCAGAACCACACAGGGGGACCTAGTGAATGACCTGCAGAGAGCTGGGACCAAAGTAACAAAGCCTACCATCAGTAACACACTACGCCGCCAGGGACTCAAATCCTGCAGTGCGAGACGTGTCCCCCTGCTTAAGCCAGGCCCGTCTGAAGTTTGCTAGAGTGCATTTGGATGATCCAGAAGAGGATTGGGAGAATGTCATATGGTCAGATGAAACCAAAATAGAACTTTTTGGTAAAAACTAAACTCGTCGTGTTTTTTCACCTACAGTGAAGCATGGGGGTGGAAACATCATGCTTTGGGGCTGTTTTTCTGCAAAGGGACCAGGTCGACTGATCCGTGTAAAGGAAAGAATGAATGGGGCCATGTATCGTGAGATTTTGAGTGAAAACCTCCTTCCATCAGCAAGGGCATTGAAGATGAAACGTGGCTGGGTCTTTCAGCATGACAATGATCCCAAACACACCGCCGGGCAACGAAGGAATGGCTTCGTAAGAAGCATTTCAAGGTCCTGGAGTGGCCTAGCCAGTCTCCAGATCTCAACCCCATAGAAAATCTTTGGAGGGAGCTGAAAGTCTGTGTTGCCCAGCGACAGCCCCAAAACATCACTGCTCTAGAGGAGATCTGCATGGAGGAATGGGCCAAAATACCAGCAACAGTGTGTGAAAACCTTGTGAAGACTTACAGAAAACGTTTGACCTGTGTCATTGCCAACAAAGGGTATATAACAAAGTATTGAGAAACTTTTGTTATTGACCAAATACTTATTTTCCACCATAATTTGCAAATCAATTCATTAAAAATCCTACAATGTGATTTTCTGGAATTTATTTTCTCAATTTGTCTGTTATAGTTGACGTGTACCTATGATGAAAAGTACAGGCCTCTCTCATCTTTTTAAGTGGGAGAACATGCACAATTGGTGGCTGACTAAATACTTTTTTTCCCCACTGTATGTGTGGATACATATATCTGTATATATGGGCATAATAATTATATGCTCATATACAGTACCAGTCAAAAGTTTGGACACACCCACTCATTCCAGGGTTTTTCTTTCTTTTTACTATTTTTCACATTGTAGAAAATCCCCAAACCATCACACCACCACCACCATGCTTGACCTTTTGTATGATGTTCTTACTGTGGAATGCAGAGTTTGGTTTTCACCAGGCATTACTGGAACCATGTCTTCCAAAAAGACTGTCCATAGAACGTTCTTCCCAGAGTCTTGATGATCATCCAGGTGCTTTTTGGCAAACTTGAGTCAACTTTTTGGACGAGATGGGTCCCATTATGCCTGGCGAAAACCAAACTCTGCATTCCACAGTAAGAACATCATACCAAAGGTCAAGCATGGTGGTGGTGGTGTGATGGTTTGGGGATGCTTTGATGCCTCAGGACCTGGACGACTTGCCTTAATAGAAGGAACCATGAATTCTGCTCTGTATCAGAGAATTCTACAGGAGACAGTATCCAGCAGATCCCAACATTGCATCAATGGCACTGCCCGTGCGCTTACCGACTCCATTATGAGACAGATACAATGTTGCGATCTCTATACATCAATATGCACTAACAGGACAGATTTTGAGGAAGAGGCTAGAATCTAGTTTCTTATGATTATCAGTCAATTTTACCTTCAAAAATCTCCAAACTGCACACATAGAAATGGTTTCCATGAGTTCGTCTGACTCTTGGTAAGTAGAGTGAAAAAAGGAAATCTGGAAATCTCGCAGTATCCCTTTAATCCATATCAGTGTCTGCGATAATATTCACCATTCTTTC